GCCTGGAAACATAAAAGCAGCAAAAGTCTGTTATACACATTCATTAGGACGCCAGTTCTGATATCATAGATCTGCTCCGAAAACCCCAAAACAACATGTTTAAACTCAGGATTGAGGTAACAATAAAGCCGAAGAAGCTAAAGCGGCGTTCAAAGACTTTTCAGCTCAACCAATCGGCACTTTTATATCTCCTTGTCATGCAATGGGAATCCTCTGCTTATAATTCTCACCCGGCTCAATACATCATGCTGATAGACGGCACAGCTTGCACACGAGCACAACAAGCGCCCGCTAAAAGTGTTTTTATATCCTCGTCAGCTTTTTTTGCCATTTGTGATCCATTATGGAGACGTCCCTTCACTTCCTGTTTGAAAACCACAACAGGAAGTGAGAGGAAACCCTTCTAAAAAGAGAGAATAATCTCCTGTGGTCACCAGAACTGGTGTCCCCACTGGAAGATATCTCATCTATTCCTGTTCTGATGACAACCCAAAATGTGGAAATTTTCTTTAACGGATAGCAAGCACCAGGAGGAATAGAGAGGGTGAATCTCCCTTTACTTCCTGTCTGACAGCCACAACAGGAAGTGAGAGGAAAACCTTCTAAAAGACAAAATTACCAGAACCAGTGTCCCCGCTGGGAGATATCTCATCTATTCCTGTTCTGATGACAACACAAAATGTGGAATTTTCTTTCATTGCTAACATTCACCAGGACACAGAGAATGGTGAATCTCCCCAACGGGGACACACACAGCAATAAAAACCTGACTGGTGATCTAATCCCTCTCAGCTCTGGCTTCAGTTGCCCTTTAAATCATGAAATCTGCATGGCTTTTTTTGGCTCTTAACACACGGGGAAAGGAGAGGAGTGACTACATGCAGGAACTGATATACAAATTTCTCCACGTGGTCCCGGTGTTCTATCTAAAGCTCCAACTCATCGAGATCTCCAATTACCTCACTTCCAGTGGCGTAACAATCGCCATAGCGACCCAGGCGGCCGCTATGGGGCCCGGGCACAGGGGGGGCCCGGCCAGGGCATCCCTCTGATGCGGTGTGGGCTGCCTGGGTCGCTATGGCGTCTCCGGGTGCTGGCTGTCACTGACATAGCTCAGCAGCAGCTGTGAGGGAGAACGTTCCCCCTCACAGCCGCTGTGTCAGTGACAGCCTGCAGATGCGGCAGAAGAGGCCGGTTACACCGGCGTTTGCAGTAAAGGAGGCGGGGCCCGCCTAACAGCAACCCCGCCTCCTCTCACATCACTGGCCAGCGATCTAAGAGCAGGGGGGGCCAGTGATGTAAGAGGAGGCGGGGCCCGTCGATAGAAAGAGGTGAAGCCCGGGGACGGAAGAGGAGGCGGGGGCCCGGCGACCACGGAGGCGGACAGCGCTGACAGGTAAGAGGCGTGCAGCCCAACTGAGACCTTGCAGAGCCCACCATAGAGAGTCTATGGTGGGCTCTGCAAGTGACATAACTAGCAATCACGGGGCCCCATACAAAATGTTGCTATGGGGCCCTGTGATTTCTAGTTACGCCCCTGCTCACTTTTGGCGTTCAGAAAGACGAGCTCTGTACAGCTGCGGCGCGCAGAGCGTTTTCAGAAAGATCGTCGAGTTTGCCACCTGCCGAATATTGCTAAAATGCAGCCGTACAGAAGCTCCGCCAGTCTTTGTGTTTTGCGGTGTAACGCCGTCTGGTCGAAATCTCCAACTTGCAAGTCCCCGGCAGTGAGGTAGTTGGAGATTCCGACGAGTTGGAGCTTTCGATAGAACACTGGCACTAAGAGGCAACAAGGTTCCTCTTCCGTTATAAGTGATGTGAAGTTCTTCTACATTAAGATATTCGGCCATTTTGGATACAATGGTGCTTAGTAGTTTCTATCTGTTCGCAATATCGCTTTGTGCAAACACTGACCGCCATCGCGTAATGCTGCCAACGCACACACCGGGGTCCATTGAGAAATGTTCGATACGCGCAGCATGGTAGACTAGACAGAGCCCTTTAATTCTACCTGTTTGGAAGGATATTGAAGGCGATGATGAGAGTATATAACACCTCCGTGTAAAATCTACGTCTGCGCTCTCAGGAGATCCTCACACATACAATTCCTAGTGAACGTCTGGGCAAAACAATGAAGACGTTCTGTACATCTCTGCAATACATGCACATGCGTCTGCCAAAATTCCAGCAAGCTCCTGACATCCTGTAGTTGGCTGACAACGCTGCTTCTGCTGCACCGAAATCCCCCAATCGGTGTTGTCAGCCCCGGCTAGATCTCTGTGGACTACAGAACATCCCCCCTTATTTGAGACATGTAGTTTGCTTCTTCAGAATGGATATTCGTATGCACTTCGTTAAATTCGGATCCACCTGAATTCTAACGAGTCCCAGTGCCAACAAATCCAAATGCTCGTTTAATGAAAATTCGGAGCCGTCCCAAATGAAACTAATTCGGACATGTGACTGTTTTCTGACCAAATCAGATGGGTTTTTTGGGCTGTTGGGGGGTTGCATCACAGGCACGGTCATGTGACTGTTCTTCGGACGGATCCAAAATCCAAATAACGTATAAAATAAAATTTCCGATCCAAAATCCAAAATAGATTGAAATCCGGAACGACATTTATTTTTTTGCGGTGTTACGCGTCTATCATATTTTATGGAGATGAGACTTGTGGGATTTCGGTGTGGAGGAAGCAGCGTTGTCAGCCCACTACAGGAAGTTCGGATTTCTAGTAGATCCACATTTTTTCCCCCGGTATTTGCAGTTTCTAAAAAGGAATGAAACGAATATCATGCGTGTGGGGTTTACAGAAGTACGGAAGCTGCCGCTGATGATTTGCCAGAACTGACCATTTTGTTTCTACATTTGCGTTAGTTGACATTTACATTGTTACTGGTGTAGAGAGCAGAAGGCGAGTACAGAACTGGTCTTACTGGTCCCTAGCGTCATCTCTTCCATATACCGACCCAGCTCCCCACAACCACCAACCAGACGTGTGCTTTCATTGTGCAGGAGGTTCGGAAATAAAAGGAGAGTCTGTTGATCTGGGAAATGGTTTACTTTGAATGCAAGAGGTGTCGGAGGCAACAGAGCGGGAAAATCCTTGCGGGTAAATCGCTTGTTTTTGTCCCCTTGGCCGTATCTTTAAAGCAGAACTAGACCCACCAATTTAATGTCTCCCAAAACAGTTACTTTCAGGGCACGCCAACTGTCAAGGATGCTTATTTCAGCTCTCAACCGAACTTTCAGGCTCTCATAGCCGATCACATGTGCAGCACCAAGGCCGGTGTCATAGCCGATCACATGTGCAGCACCAAGGCCGGTGTCATAGCCGATCACATGTGCAGCACCAAGGCCGGTGTCATAGCTGATCACATGTGCAGCACCAAGGCCGGTGTCATAGCTGATCCCATGTGCAGCACCAGGGCTGCACATGGGATCTATGTGGACTACAGAACATCCCTCACCCTGACCATACCCTTCCTCTGTGACCTCCTCACTCAGATCATACCCTTCCTCTGTGACCTCCTCACCCTGATCATACGCTTCTTCTGGGAAATGGTTTACTTTGAATGCAAGAGGTGTCGGAGGCAACAGAGCGGGAAAATCCTTGCGGGTAAATCGCTTGTTTTTGTCCCCTTGGCCGTATCTTTAAAGCAGAACTAGACCCACCAATTTAATGTCTCCCAAAACAGTTACTTTCAGGGCACGCCAACTGTCAAGGATGCTTATTTCAGCTCTCAACCGAACTTTCAGGCTCTCATAGCCGATCACATGTGCAGCACCAAGGCCGGTGTCATAGCCGATCACATGTGCAGCACCAAGGCCGGTGTCATAGCCGATCACATGTGCAGCACCAAGGCCGGTGTCATAGCTGATCACATGTGCAGCACCAAGGCCGGTGTCATAGCTGATCACATGTGCAGCACCAAGGCCGGTGTCATAGCTGATCCCATGTGCAGCACCAGGGCTGCACATGGGATCTATGTGGACTACAGAACATCCCTCACCCTGACCATACCCTTCCTCTGTGACCTCCTCACTCAGATCATACCCTTCCTCTGTGACCTCCTCACCCTGATCATACGCTTCCTTTCTGACCTCCTCACCCTGATCATACCCTTCCTCTGTGACCTCCTCACCCAGATCATACCCTTCCTCTGTGACCTCCTCACCCAGATCATACCCTTCCTCTGTGACCTCCTCACTCAGATCATACCCTTCCTCTGTGACCTCCTCACCCAGATCATACCCTTCCTCTGTGACCTCCTCACCCAGATAATACCCTTCCTCTGTGACCTCCTCACTCAGATCATACCCTTCCTCTGTGACCCCCTCACTCAGATCATACCCTTCCTCTGTGACCCCCTCACCCTGATCATACCCTTCCTCTGTGACCTCCTCACCCAGATCATACCCTTCCTCTGTGACCTCCTCACTCAGATCATACCCTTCCTCTGTGACCTCCTCACCCAGATCATACCCTTCCTCTGTGACCTCCTCACCCTGATCATACCCTTCCTCTGTGACCTCCTCATCATTCACCTGAATCATGCCCGTTTCAGACACTAGGGGGAGCAGTGATGTTTCTCTGTCATGTGACTGTGCTTGGCCTATCGATTGGCTGCTAGACCTGAGCATGGTCACATGGAAGATCACCGGCTTTGACGGTGGAGGAAAGCTAGCCTCATATCAGCGGGTTGGAGGGCCTATTTCAAACAACGGGCTGAATGGTAAAGGTGACCGTCTCCTTAAGAAGCAATACAACAAAAAAAGTCACTTTTCCATAATATTCATATTCTAACATCTAACCTATACAGCCGTCATGAAATGCAGACGCCATGCTCCGGTCACACAAGGACACGGTTTTAGGTTTTCCATTCCTTATAATGCCATCACTGGCCCGTCTCCGGCTCTATTCACCAGGCTATAGGACTCGGTATCTGCTACTGTGCACCGTCATTATAGCACGTGTGTGCGTACGGCTTAGGTCAATTCGGCTTTTATTTCATTCAATATTTTATTAAATAAGAAAAGGAACAATAATGAAATAATAAAGAAATAATGGCCATTGTATGATCCCAGCACACGTGCGCAAAATGTGATTGGATGCAGCAAGAAGTCTCCTTCCATTCCAAACAAACAATAGGTAACAATGGCATCCACTGCAATACTTCGCCTGTGTTGGGATCACTTCACACCCCCAAAAAAAAGTTTTCTATCAGATTGTTTTTTAGTGTCTGAGAACCAGAGACCTGTGGACTTTACCATCTTTAGCAAATAGTGTTTATTTTTTTTTAGGCCCCATTCTTACATCTGGCTTCACACCCATGTAATACTGCAATACAGGAAGTACAATGCCCGCTTACTTAGAGTGGTCCGTCGACACACAACCGCAGCCCGCAGAGCTCCATGACACACACTGTGCTGCATTAATAAAGTATTGCAGTAACCCACAGAAACCAATCACAGCTCACCTTGCATTGCTCTTAGTTAGTGTTCCCATGCCAAAGAAAAAATATATATCTAGATTTCAGTATACCACTCCTTAGTGTGTTGGCTGCATTAGTTTTCTTCCCTTTATTTTCTCCTGGTGATCCTGGAAGTAACGCACTTCCTCTGTGTCCACCCTATGAATCTCTGTGACCATTCGTTCTGGCAAAAACAAACGTTTCTTTTCAGGGTGAATATAAAGTAATGTAATACAGCATGATGGTCAATAGATGGAGCTGGGGAGGATATGTATTTCTTATGCTCCCCAGCTCTATTTAGTGGCCATAATGTATTACATTCGACCTGATAAGAAAATATACAGAGAACATTTGTTTTTGCCACTCTTTGCACAGAATGGATCATACATGCTGCCACTGCTGATCTCTGCTTTTGGGATCGCTAGTTGCCAGGCTATCAGTGCTTTTTGGCTTCAATACTGTGAGTAGCAGACCTGGAACTAATATAGCGATAAGGGGGTTTGGACGCTTTTCTGACTCCGCTACAGCATACATTCTGGTCTGTTCTAAAGAAACAAACAAAAGTACTAGGTTTGGACATAGCCAAGCATTCAGCATTTTCAGAAGTAGATCAGCACTGGAAGCCCGTGTAGTACTGCCCCCGTGACAAATTAGAATTAAAGAACTCTAATGTAACAAAAAAGCGGGATGCTGTTTTAAAGTGAGGAGCCACCATCCACCAGACAAATACGACCTCTCCATCCATGCCACTAAGCCCACTAGGACAGCAGGATACCAAACACCATCCCTAGCCGTGTGTGTGCCCACTCGGAGAGAAGGCTATCAAATACTATCCGTAGCCGTGCGTGTATGCCCACTGAGAGAAAGGGTATTGAACACCCTCCGTAGCCATGCGTGTGCCCATTGGGAGAGCAGGGTATCCAACACCCTCCCTAGCCTAGCGTGTCCCCCAGCGCGAGAGAAGGAAATCGAACAACCTCCGTAGCCGTGCGTGTCCCCCAGCGCGAGAGAAGGAAATCGAACAACCTCCGTAGCCGTGCGTGTGCCCACTGGGAGCGCAGGATATTGAACACCCTCCGTAGCCGCGCGTGTCCCCCAGCACGAGAGAAGGATATCGAACACCCTCCATAGCCATGCATGCGCCCACTGGGAGAGCAGGGTATCGAACACCCTCCATAGCCATGCATGCGCCCACTGGGAGAGCAGGGTATCGAACACCCTCCATAGCCATGCATGCGCCCACTGGGAGAGCAGGATATCGAACACCCTCCGTAGCCGTGCGTGTCCCCCAGGACGAGAGAAGGCAATCGAACAACCTCCATAGCCGTGCGTGTGCCCACTGGGAGAGCAGGGTATCGAACACCATCCGTAGCCATGCATGTCCCCCCACTGGGAGAGAAAGATATTGAACACCCTCCATAGCCATGCATGCCCCCCCACTGAGAGAGCAGGATATCGAACACCCTCCATAGCCATGCGTGCCCCCCCCACTGAGAGAGCAGGATATCGAACACCCTCCATAGCCATGCGTGTGCCCACTGAGAGAGCAGGATATCGAACACCCTTCCAAGCCATGTGCATATACACACTAGAGGAAAAGAACATCAAGCATTCCCCCAAGCCATGCAACTGTGCCCACCCTTACATTAAACTAACAGCACACTATGAAACCCTCCCATATCATCACTACAGGAGTCGGGGATAGACCTGATCAGATATGACAAGACTAAGGGAAAAGAATAACCACATACAGAAGAGTCCAAGTTAATTTTTAACAGAAATAGGATTGTTGCACACCCCTGCTAAAAGCGATTAGCAAAGACAAGCCAAAAGTCTGGCAGGAACCACGAAAGTGTTTCCACATACCTTCAATAATAAGGGGATCTTCACACAGAGGTTTGCTACGTCGCTCAAACAAACTAAAGTGAGATTTTATTAAGCAGTGCTTCTTGTGACAGGTGCTCTTTAAGTGCATCAAGCTGTTTATGGGTGTGTTGCAATTAGTACCAAGGTCTGTTTATAACAATGATTGGGTGCGTGTTATCTGGGCAGCCTAAAGCTGGCCATACACCTTACAACCATCACACGACTTTCGTTGTGCGATGGTTGTAAGGTCATTAAAAGCTCGTACGATCTGCACATCTTGGACAGGCAGATCGTACTTGCGATCATCGCAAATGCCCTCCCTGCAATCCTGAGCGGGCAGTGCGCGCTTGCGCACACAGGCCCGTCCGGCATTTGTCTTCCGAGCACGCCACTAACCCGCTGAAGATCTTACGATTTTCGGCAGGTTTTCCAGTGTGCTCGGAAGACAAAAAACGTGCGACCGTACAGTAGAAACGGTCGCACGCCTTCCATACACCTGCCGATTATCGTATGAACGCGGGATCACCCGCGATTATGGTACGATAATCGGCAGGTGTATGGGCACCTTAATACTTCATGTCAAGAGACCTTTAGTTTAACATGATTCCCTCTGCAGAGTACCCCTCCCAAGCTTCCTTCTGACTCTATATCATCCAGCAGAGGCGCTTATCTAGCAACAAGACCCAAAGCTACTCTCTAGAAACAATAGAATCCTTTGCAAAACGGCACAGCAGAGACGTGTATCCCAGACAATAGAAGTAAAACATCTGAATAGCTGGATCTGCAGATTACAGACAAATGGAGACACACATTGCACAGCTTGCAGGAGGGGACGCACAAAGTCACCTGAAAGCACCTTTCGGCAATCTTGTAACTCACTCAGGCTTATACATTAAGGCCAAAGACAAACTGCAATTGTCCAAAGCAAACCAATAAGAATTCAGCTTCCATCAAACTGAAACCTGACTAGTTGCTAGGGGGTCACTCCGCCTTCAACGTCATTACACCACTTTCTTAAAGCTGGACTCCAAACACCAATATACACTGAATAAATACATATAAGGGCGCAGTTTAACATGCCAAAAAAGTTGTATTTCCTTCCATCCAGCCCTGACATCGACAGAGCTCGTCCCCACAACACAGTCCAGTCTGGCATGACAGGAGACTGAATATTTTGTTCCCCCCCATTTCAGTAATACTTCCAGGTCTTATCCCTCCCCCCAGCACGTGACTGGATGGTGAAAGGAGAAGCAGAAGAATGATGAGCTCACCTCTCTGCTTTCTTCTCCTATCCGCATGCTACTCAGCACGCCTGATTGGCTCCTTTAGCTGCTTCTCCCTCCGCAGCACAGAGAATGACACCATTTCGGGTATTTGCATTATAAAAAAAAACCCAAATGATATTGTAATGAAAACAGAACTGCAATAAATTGTATATTTTATACCCGGCTGGAGTTCAGCTTGAAATAAGCCTGAGTGTGAGTGCGTGTATGGCCGCGTATGCATTATTAGCAAGCGAAAGACACCACAAAACGGGTAAAAGAAACTTTCGTTTCAGAATAAGTCTTCTACATGTGCTCTTTGGATCACTTGATTTTCTTAAAAAGTAAACAAACACTTTTGTCTCGCATTAGAAAATACTTCTCAAAATGTTTTTAAACCCACCGGAGATGGAAGCTGAAAAAGCCATTGCGAGCGTCAGAACAGGAAACATAATAAAACATAAAAGAGGATATACTGTTTTTAAACAGTCAATACCAAGCTGTGGAACAGAGGAGGAGGTGCAAAATAAAACCGCAAAATACAACATAAAGAACAAAAATAAAAGATTCAAGGTGCCTGCTGATAATATGCTACAAGACAAATTAAACGTCTGCTGTAAATGAGGCCGAGGCCAGCTACGAGGAAAGGAAAATATAGAGCAAAGCGTAGAATGACGTCAGTTGGAATTAAACCCAAGGAAGGTGGTGTAGTTTTAGGCACGGAGATCACGTTGAGAGGTTATTGTATCAAAGGGCTGATTTTTTGTAGAGAAAGTCGGGTTTATTGGGAGACCTTCTTTCCCTGCCTACGGTGTCATCCCGCTCTAGGTCCATGTTCCTCTGTGTCGAGTGATCCAGGTGGTCACTGTCTGTAATCCTCCTGAATGATCGCTCCTCCTGCCGGTCGGAACCGTAGGCAGAGTGAGGGGGTCTGCTAGCGGTGAGCCCATATGTCAGGTCGGACTCCATTTTCGTTCGGCCCCGGCCGTGGTGAGAGCTGGTACCCTCTTGCGCGGCCAGCGCCAGATCCAGTCTCTGTGGCGGCTGTTCTAAGACATCGAGGTGTAAGGGTTCATTCTTTTGCCTGTGGGGGTGACTGTCTTGCGAGAACAGGTAATCCCTCCTTGGATCGTCTTGCTTTTTTGGGGAGATCTGGTTGGGATGGTAAGCGGATTTTAATCCGCTCGGCGGAGGTTTGCTGTGACTGTACAGATCGGGACCAAAATAAATGCCCTGCGAAGTCAAAGGGGAGCGCCTGCTCGGCACGGGTGTAGACGGTCGGCACGCGGAATTGGAGAAGTTGTAGAATTCCGGATATTCCGGCTGGCTGTCGCGGGAATCAATTTTTGGCTCCATGGTTTGCTTTTTCCGGGAACTGTGCATATGTCTGCTTGGGACGTATGTGTGGTGCTGGGCGGGGACCGGCATCATGTCCGACACCTGCTGGCTTAGCTGGCTATCGATGGTCAATTCTGGCAGCCTCCTGTCTTTCAGCGACATGCTGGAAACGCCCATCGCGATGTCCGGCATAAACTCATTCAGAACTGGCTCGCCACACTAGTGAACACAAAAAGAAAACCATAGCATTAAACTGGATCCAAACTTAAACCGGTCATAGTGCATGCTGCATTAAAAAGTGCTCTATATAAATTTGGTGTGCAGGGAAAAGGTAAAGAGTAGGGATGCACAGATACTGATACTAGTATTGGTATAGGTGCCGATACCGAGTGTTTGGGCGAGTACTTGTACTCGCCCAAATGCTCTGATACCTTCCCCAATAGCGGAACTTCCAATCAGAGGAAAATTTCCTCTGACCAGCAGTGCCATATGGGATCATGGAGCCAGCTTTCTCTAAACAATTACTTTTAGAAAACAAATGATAAATTGACCACCCAAAAAATGGCATATCTAAATATCTGGTACAAGATGTAAAACATTGCATCTCATTGCTGCAAACATGATAGCAGATTTGTAAAAGTAATGTGTGATGTCCCCCAAAAGGGGACCCCATTTTCCCAACAAGCAGACATGGGGTATCCCTCACGGTGATGGCCATACCTTTGTAAGGAGAAACAAAAATGCCAGTTACAGTAACACTTACCGCTTGCTGCTCTGCTGCTAGGGCAGCTGCTGCAGCTGCTGCTACGGTCTGCCTGCCAAGGCCAGTGTTAGTGCAATCAGGGGGGATGGTTTTGACGCCAGGCAGGTAAGAGGGTGGGGTTGCTTTAGGGACAGTACGGGAATGGAACAATGAATGGTTGCAGGGGTAGGAGAAGGAGCGGGAGGGATGCTGGCTGGGCACCCTCTGCTTCCAGCCCACTTTTAACTGGTTGTGTATTGGCGTGGCGGGCGGGTGGTAAGGAGGTGGTGGTGGAGGTAACGGAGGATGGAAGGCCACGTAAGAGTCTATGTCCGTAAACATGGTTTCCGCGGCAGGGGTGCTGTTAATCCTGCATCTCCCGGACTGGCGCACCGTCAGAAGAGGACTCTCATCTCCAAACCGCTCGTCTGGGAAGAACTTGTGAGGATTCTGCAAAACAAAAAAGAAAAGCATCGCTTAATTTGTGTCCATGTAATATTAACTGAGGGAATTGCTAAAATATACAATACTTTTATTCACAGCTTGGCATCTAATTCTGGATTACAAATGCTATTCCAATTCATCCCAAAGGTGTTCGGTAGGGTTCAGGTCAGGGTTCTGTGCAGTACATCCACTCCAAACTGATAAAACCATGTCTTTATGGAGCTGGAACAGAAAGGGCCTTCACCCAACGGTTGCCACAAGTTTGGAAGTGCACAATGCTCTGCCCTTAACTGGAAGCACCTGAAATTAATCATTTGAAGGGGTGTCCACATACTTTTGGTCATATAGGTAGGTGTGATGGTCAGGTGTCCACATTCTTATGGCTATGCAGTGTATATACTTGGTATTTTGCTGGGCTTTGCTTTTTGCATAGTAACCCAGCACGGTGAGTGTTTTTCTGCTCCTATAATTGCCATTGTTTCTCTCTTGGTTTCCTGCACCACTCTTCTCTGCCTTATCGGAAACTCGCTAGGTCATCAGTATGAAGCTTTCACGTTTATGCAGAACTCTGAAGATTTGCTGACCTAAGGCTGGACTGTCTTCTGACTGCCTTCCAATGTACGAGTGCATCATTGCTTGATATACAGGTGAAACTCGAATAATTAGAATATCGTGCAAAAGTAATTGCAGTAAGTGCTGAAAAAGGGTCCCAAACCAAGTACTGAGTACATATGCATGCTTGTACTTTTCAGAGGTCCGATATTGTTCTATGTACAATCCTTGTTTTATTGATTGCATGTAATAATCTACTTTTTTGAGGTTGTGGATTTGGGGTTCTTGGGGTTTTCATGAGCTGTAAGCCATAATCATCACAATGATGACAAACCACGGCTTGAATTATGTTGCTTTGCATGTAATGAGTCTCTCTCATATATTAGTTTCACCTTTTAAGTTGCATTAGTGAAATAAATGAACTTTGCACAATATTCTAATTATTCGAGTTTCACCTGTACAAGCTCCTTCATGTCTCCCCACTCCAACCTCTGCACAACATATTATTAGTGAGCCTTTCTATAGAAACATAGAAGAGTGACAGCAAAAAAAATACCAAGTTGTCCATCACGTCTGCCCCTTTCTGATTTGTTTTACCTTTTGGACTGACAATAGATCAATGTTTGTCCCCAGCATGTTAAAATGTACTTACTGTTGACTGGCTCGCTACCTCTGCTGATGTCTGTTCCAAACTTCAGCTACTCTTTCTGTAAAATACTTTCTAAGATTAGTTTTCATCTTCCTCCTGTTAGTTTGAGGTCATGTCCTCATGTAGTTGATCTTAGTTTCATGTAGAAAGTCCTGCCCTCTTGAACCATACTCACACCCATCATATGTTTAAAGGTTTCCATCATGTCCCTCTCCTCTGATGTCCCTTCTTTCCAAAAGACTGTACATAGTAAGTTCTTGCAGTCTCTCCTGATAGGTTTCATAGGTCTAAGGAATAAAACCTGTCTCTGGACTTATGTCTTATCACTAACTTTTTGTAAGTGAGGTCTCCAGAACTAGGCAAGTATTCTAAATGAGGTCTGACTCAAGATCTATATAGAGGAATCAGGACCTCCTTCCTCCTGCTGGAGATCCCTCTAGTGATAACTAAAGATCTATATAGAGGAATCAGGACCTCCTTCCTCCTGCTGGGGATCCCTCTAGTGATAACTAAAGATCTATATAGAGGAATCAGGACCTCCTTCCTCCTAATAAAGATCTATAAAGAGGAAATCAGGACCTCCTTCCTCCTGCTGGTGATACCCCTGGTGATAATAAAGATCTATATAGAGGAATCAGGACCTCCTTCCTCCTGCTGGAGATCCCTCTAGTGATAACTAAAGATCTATATAGAGGAATCAGGACCTCCTTCCTCCTGCTGGAGATCCCTCTAGTGATAACTAAAGATCTATATAGAGGAATCAGGACCTCCTTCCTCCTGCTGGAGATCCCTCTAGTGATAACTAAAGATCTATATAGAGGAATCAGGACCTCCTTCCTCCTGCTGGGGATCCCTCTAGTGATAATAAAGATCTAGAAAGAAAAATCAGGACCTCCTTCCCCCTGCTGGGGATCCCTCTAGTGATAATAAAGATATATATAGAGAAATCAGGACCTCCTTCCTCCTGCTGGGGATCCCTCTAGTGATAATAAAGATCTATATAGAGGAATCAGGACCTCCTTCCTCCTGCTGGGGATCCCTCTAGTGATAATAAAGATCTATATAGAGGAATCAGGACCTCCTTCCTCCTGCTGGGATCCCTCTAGTGATATAAAGATTTATATAGAGAAATCAGGACCTCCTTCCTCCTGCTGGGGATCCCTCTAGTGATAATAAAGATCTATATAGAGGAATCAGGACCTCCTTCCTCCTGCTGGGATCCCTCTAGTGATATAAAGATCTATATATAGGAATCAGGACCTCCTTCCTCCTGCTGTGGATCCCTCCAGTGATAAGATCTACAGTATATAGAGGAATCAGGACCTCCTTCCTCCTGTTGGAGATCCCTCTAGTGATGAACCCCAGAATGTTAAACGCTTTCCCCACTACAAGGGCAAACTAATTGATCTTTTCACAGTCATCTGAAACATGCACCCCAAAATCTTTTCTCCTCTGTAGTTCTGGCCAACTTGGTCCAATTATTGGAGAATGCAAAAAGCCCCAACTCCAGAAAAAAAATTCATCAGATTACCTGTAACAGCTCTGCAGCGGAATCAGATAGACCGAATTCCCTCAAAACCCGGATCTGAATCTCATAACTGACAGTAGCACCTTCTCCACAGTTTAAGGCGTACGCGCGCTGAACTTGCTCCATGTGTCGAAGCTCCTGCAGGCGTCTGATCATCTCTCTCACAATTCCAAGTGGGGGAACTAATGAGGAAAACACAGCAGATGTGGTCAAACATCCTATTCAGCAATACCTTTAGATTAACTGTAAACACAACCCAGTTAGGTTACATTCAGGATAAAGCAGAACTGTTTCAAAAAGGATCTTCTGGCAAGTCACACAATGTTTTCTAGTCCAATGAAAAGAATAAATATTGGAAATATAATTACTTCCAACATTTATATAATAATAATAATAAGTATTGGAAATCTTCTAATAGGGACACCTGTTTGAGTGACAAATACTGAAGATGGGATTTCCCTCACTTTGGAAACATTTTCTCTCACTTCCTGTAGTGACTACCGGACAGGAAATGAGGGGAAATTGGACACAGAACAACAGAAAAACAAAAAACCTGATGGGTTTTAACCCTCCCCTACTGTGGCATCAGCCCTCATCTCTGCAATTGTAGGCCGGTGTGATGACACATCCCCAGGGGGAGGGTACATGACAGCCTGAGCTCACAGGAAGTGAGCTTAAGGATGCTGGCTGTCATTCAAAAGCAGAAGCAAAATATAAAGTGGTGTTTATATTTTGGTACCACGCAGGGCCACAGCTGTATTTGCACTTTAATCAGTGTCAAGAAAATGTGTGCGTCAAAAAATACAGCACCTAATTGATAATGCCAAAAAAAACACAAAAAAAACAGAGCCCTCCATGTGTTACTCCAGCCTGATGCAGGACAAGCGAACCTTTGATAGGACATAAAATACAAATTTCAAACAGGCAAAACTATGTGCTATGTGCTCTTCACATTAGTCACTGATGTACTATGACTGGAATTCCTAAAGCTGAATATGCAAAATTTGTCTACATACAAAAGATGTGTATATCCTCGCATGACTCCTGGCGAGCTTGGTCTATTTCTTCCAGATCTGTGCAGTAATCCAGTATGAGACTTGGAGCTTCCTGTAATAAAGACCAGTCACTGCTGCTCTCTTTCCTTGTGCAGGGTGACTGGTCTTGTCTCCGCCCCCTTCTGTAATAAAGACCGCTCACTGCTGCTCTCTCTCCTTGTGCAGGGTGACTGGTCTTGTCTCCGCCCCCTTCTGTAATAAAGACCGCTCACTGCTGCTCTCTCTCCTTGTGCAGGGTGACTGGTCTTGTCTCCGCCCCCTTCTGTAATAAAGACCGGTCACAGCTGCTCGCTATCTTTGTTCAGGGCGACTGGTCTCGTCTCTGCCCCCTCCCGTAGTTTCCGGTAGTGGCTATGTGCAGCACAGTGATGATGTCACTGCTACTATTACAAGGTAATATGCAGATTTGTAAAGGTGTTTGGTGCATACAAAGTGGATTTATATCCTTTGTGGCTGTTAAAATATTTAAATGCAAACATTTGTGTCTGGAGTTCAGTTTTAAACCAAACCTCTGCACAGAAAGTAGAGACAGAAAAAGATTGTTGTTCAATTCTACCTGGTATTTCATTGGCTACTACAGTAGGAGGGTTTGTCTGGCTACTGTTCATTTGCTGGTAGTTGATCAAGTGACAGCACTGCGGCACGGCGTTGTTTACCATGTACAGTGTGTCAGGAACGTTAGACATTCGAACCATTCTTAGCCGAACCAAATCTGTCTGCTCCACCATCATCTCATCCAGCACAGACTGAAAAACAAAAATGCAATGTTATTTTAGCAAATAAAGTGCAATTGTTTGGTGTCAGATCTGTATATTGTTCCTTCTAATCGCAACAGCCATACAACAAACTATTGTGGAAATAAACATCAATTGCAGATCTAAAGCTGGTCATACACCTAGGAGATTATCTGCAGACTTTCTAGGGTCAGATGGAAAAAGTGCAACAGATTCCTCCCATCTACGCTATATGCTATACATATTTGGGGCCCACCAGTCTAAAACAACTTGGAGACCCATATTACTCCCATTTACCTCGAAACATCTTGAACGGCTGGTCTACAACCGCCTGAGCAGCCACCTTACAGTTAACAATCTCCTTGACCTGTTCCAATCTGGCTTTTGTCCGCAACACTCCACAGAAACTGCCCTTCTAAAACTTACTAACGATCTACTAATTGCTAAAACCAATGACCACTACTCTGTACTCCTACTTTTAGACCTTTCTGCTGCCTTTGACACAGTTGACCTCCCGCTTCTCATTAATAAACGTCATTCCCTTGGCCTCCAAAACTAGGCTTTCTCATGGTTCATCTCCCACCTATCTCAGCGCATCATCAGGGTCACCTACAATTCTTCCTCCTCCTCTCCTCTTCCCGTGGGGTCCCCCAAGGGTCTGTCCTTGGGCCCCTTCTATTCTCTATCTACACTTCTTCCCTGGGTCAATTGATAGCCCCCTATGGCTTCCAATACCATCTTTATGCCGATGACACCCAAATCTATCTCTCCACTTCTCAGCTCACCTCTTCTGTCTCTTCACGTATCTCCAATCTACTCAGTGACATCTCAGCATGGATGTCGCACCACTACCTCAAACTCAATCTGTCAAAAATTGAGCTTATAATTTTTCCTCCTCTCCGTGTTTCCTCCCCCAACTTCCGCATCACTATCAACAACTCTACGATCAACCCCTCCCATCAAGCCAGGGTACTCGGTGTTATCCTTGACTCTGAGCTCTCCTTTCAGCCCCACATCCAATCACTATCCAAATCTTGCCGACTCAACCTCCGTAACATTTCCAAAATACGCCCCGCTTTAACAAACGACACCACAAAGTTCTAATTCACTCCCATGTAATCTCTCGTCTCGACTACTGTAACTCCCTCCTTGTTGGCCGACCACTAAGCAGGCTACCCCCCCTTCAGTCGATCATGAATGCTGCTGCCAGACTCATCCACCTTATCAACCACTCAGTGTCTGCATCCCACCTCTGCCAATCCCTCCACTGGCCCCCACTTGCCCAACGAATAAAATTCAAAATACTAACAACATACAAAGCCATCTACAACTCCGCCCCGACCTACATCACTGACCTCATCTCAAAATATCACCCAAACCGTCCTCTCAAGACCTCCTGCTCTCTCATTACCTCCTCCCATGCTCGCCTCCGGGACTTCTCCAGAGTGTCCCCCATCCTCTGGAACTCCTTACCCCAATCTGTCCGCCTGTCTCCTACGCTACCTTTAGGCGATTAAAAACCCATCTCTTCAGGGAAGCCGACCTCATCTCAGCATAACTGCCTTATACTTCCTCCAATAACTCAATCCAAACATTTATTACCTTTTGTATCACTTGTCCCTCCTACTAGATTGTAAGCTCTCACGAGCAGGGCCCTGCCAACCCTATTGTTATGAAACTGTATTGCAACTGTACTGTCTCCACTATTTTGTAATGAGTTGAGCAAATTGTTGGCGCTATAAAAAACTTGTATAATAATAATAATACTGTGTGGGTAGAGGAATCTCCCGCTAGGCCAAGCTTCGCTGGCTCTGAAAATACCTGACCAATGCCTGCATCCAATCAGATTGTTCAGGTATTTTGAGAACCAGCAGGGCCGACTATCAAGATACTGAAGCTTGGCCCAGCGGGAGATTCCTCCATACACACAGTTTAGCGTAGATGGAGGAGTCTGTTGCACTTTTTTTATCTGACCATAGAAAATCTGCAGATCATCTATAGATGTATGGCCAGCTTTATACAGTAATATAA